ACAAAACTGAGAGTGGTGGCACACACTTCTCATCCCAGCAATCTGAGAGGAACCGTGAACCCGAAGCCCAGCCTGGGTAATTTGGCAAGATGCTTATCTGAAAATAAAAAGAACAGGGGCTGGTGAGATGGCTCAGTGGTCTAAAGCACCTATTTAGAACAAGCTAAGCTAAGCAAAACACAGGGACCAGGGTTCAATCCCCCAGCACCACATGCCAGCCAGCCGCGCCCCCTGGTGAGCTGAGCTGGCCACACACACACTAAATAAATAAATAAATATTAAAAAAAAAAAAAAAAAGGCTTTGAAAATAAGAACAATTGAGAGCCAGGTCTGTGGAGCATGCCTTTAATCTCAGCCCTTGGGAAACTGAGGCAGGAGGATTGGTGCAGGTTTGAGGCCAGCCTGGGCTAAAAAGTGAGTTCAAGGCCAACCTGTCTCATAAAAATAAGTTGAAAATGTTGCTCAATGCAAAAGAACGAGTCCTTCCAGAGCCAGCACTTGAGGGACGAGAAGGGACACAGGACGAACTGACTTAATTGATTTAAAGGGTCTGTCAAGCATTCAAGTAAGTGTGTTTTAAAAAGTGGATCAGAGGCCAGCCAGATAGCAGATTAAAACGCCTGCTTAGGGAGACACAGGGACCAGTGTTCTCCCTCGTGTGCAGTGCCAACCCCACCCCCAGGGCGCGCGGAGAAGGCAATTGAGACAGGGCGTGGTGGTGCATGCCTGTAATCCCAGCACTTGGGAGGCTGAAAATAGGATCGCTACAAGTCTGATCTGTGTAGTGAGACCCTGTAGTTCCTGTACCAAATACATTTTTTTAAAAAAGTGGATTAGAGTGTGATGAGTCACGCCTGTCGTCCCCGAACTCGAGCCTGAGGCAGGAGGATTGCTGTCAGTTCCTAGGGTAGCCTGGGCTACATAAACGAGTTCAATGCAAGACCGGACTACATATTGAGACCTTACTTTAAAATACAAAACAAGAAAGTGGACCCGAGTAGCGTGCAGTGGCGACAGCTGGTCAGCAGGGGCCGCTGCTGCAGTTTCTTTGCTTTGCCTTAGCCGCAACGGGCGCATGCGCAATGGCGCCTCCCTGCAGAGGTCTTTCCCCCCCCCCCCCTTTGGCCCTCTATTTCCCTGCCCTTTTGCCTCTAAGCTGGAATTAATTACTGCAGACTTTGACCCTGGCTGCATTTCGTTCTGCTCCAGGCTCCTGTTAATGTAGTGGTCGGTAGTGGAGGTAGGAGAGGTTGCCTACCCGCATCCCTTGGCTGCAGGGTTGAACACCTGCCTGAAGAAGTAATACTGGTAGGAATGGCTTCGATTTTCCCCTCCCCGATTCTTTAGTTTCCATTAAAATCTCAAGAAGCAAATTCCACTTCTACCCCTCCCCCTTTTGTGTGTGCACTGGGGAAGGGACCCAGGGCCTTCGGCCAAAGCCACAGCCTAAACCCCTTTTTTATTTCTTTTTTTTCCTTTTTTTTTAATTTCTTGAGATAGGGTCTAGTACAGTAACTGGGTTTCCCTGGTTGGACTCAAACGAGTGATTCTCCTGCTTCAGCCTCCCCTCCTTCCGCACTCTCACACTCAGTTTCTACCTATCATTTTTTATGAAAACGCTTGCATTGGGGCTGGAGAGATGGCTCAGTGGTCTAAAGCACCTACTTAGAACAAGCTTGGCAAAGCACAGGGACCGCGGTTCAATCCCCCAGCACCACATGCCAGCCAGCCGCGCCCCCTGGTGGGCTGAGCTGGCCACACACACACACAATAAATGTTAAAAACAAACAAACAAAAAACCCAAAAATGCTTGCATTATTGCTCTGCAAAACCGGACTCTTTTTTATTTATTCTTTTAAAAAAATTTATTTATTTATGTGTGTGTGTATGTGTGGCCAGCTCAGCCCACCAGGGAGCGGGGCTGGCTGGCATGTGGTGCTGGGGGATTGAACCTCATCCCTGTGCTTTGCTAAGCTTGTTCTAAGTAGGTGCTTTAGACCACTGAGCCATCTCACCAGTCCCCGGACTCTTTTTTAAATGTATTTAGGGGCTAGGGAGATGGTTCAGTGGAATAAGCGCTTCCTAACAAGCGCAAGGGCCTGAGTTCAATCTCTGGTTCCTCCAAAAATAAATAAAAAAATAAAAAATAAAAACTATTTAGGTGCTGGTGAGATGGCTCAGTGGTCTAAAGCACCTACTTAGAACAAGGTTAGCAAAGCACAGGGACCGCGGTTCAATCCCCCAGCACCACATGCCAGCCAGCCCCACCCCTTGGTGGGCTGAGCTGGCCACACACACACACATACACACACACAAATAAAAATAAAAATTAAATTAAAAAAAACTGTATTTAGTACAGGATCTACACAGTCTTACTACATAGATCATACTCGTAGTGAGCCTCCTGTTTTCAGCCGTGCACCACCATGCCCAGTCTCAGTCGCACTCTCAGCGTACCCTGGGGGCAGGATTTTTTTTTTTTTTTGAGACAGGATCTTGCTCTGTAGTTCAGGCTGACCCTGAACTCATCCTCATCCTGCTGCCTCAGCCTCCCCAGTGCTGGGACTACAGCCATGCAGCACCACACCCAACAAGACTACATTTTACGGAGAAAAGGTCTGTGAAATCCCTAATGTGAGATTCAACACATAGTAGGAGTTCAGTGGGTTAACGATTGATACAAAAACTATTTACAATGTACATTTCATAGCTATCTGCTGGAAACATGTGCCCGAAACTGCTTGTGCACTTTTCTTTTTGTATCAGGGATTAAACTCAGGATCTTGAACTTGGCCAGGCAGATGCTTATGCCCCTGAATTATCTCCCTGGCCCCCTTGTTTCATAAATTAACATAGTTCGTGTCAGGAATAAAAGTTTGGGTGTTTGGGAGCTGGGAAGATGGCTCAGTGGAATAAGCACTTCCCTGGCAAGCACAAGGGCCTGAGTTCAATCCCCGGTTTCACCAAAAAAGAAAAAAAAAGGTGTGGGTGTTTGATGACCGGGAGAGCTGGCATCTGGCTGCCTCTCCAAGCCTAGTGTTCACGGACATTTATCGCTGTACCAGTAATCGCTGGTTGCATGAAAGCTGACCAGGACCAGCACTGCACACAGCGGAGGGCTGGAACGCTCGGGGAGGAGGGGTGGGCAGGCCTCTTTTAGAGTTTAGACTCAAAATTGCTTTTATTTCTGCAGAAGCAACACCTCCTCCTCGCCCAGTCCAGGAAAAGTACTGCAGTCCCCCGCTCCCCGCTCCCCCCAGCAAGTTTGGGGGAAGAGTTACAGCAGGGAGCTTATTTGCACACATCAGAACATCATTCAGTCCGTGCCAGGTCATACACACTTGTAATTCTAACACTTGGGAGGCTGAGGCAGGAGCATTGCTGTGAGTTGGAGGTCAGCCTAGGCTACAAAGTGAGTTGAAGACCAGCCTGAACTGTGTAGAGAGACCCGATCTCAAAAAAATAAAAAAAAATTAAAAAATAAATTAATTAAAAAATCCTTCATTAAGGGAAGAAATAATAAGGCCCTATTTTTTTTTTTTTATTTTTCTTTTTCAGACAGGGTCTCACTATGCAGTTCAGGTTGGCTTTGAGCTCTGTCTGCAGCCCAGGCAAGGATCCTCCTGTCTTAGCTTTCTGAGGGATAGGATTATAGGTGTGCACCCCTACACCCAGCTAATGAGGCCTTACTATGTGCACTCAAGTGAGAGATTAAAAAAAAAAAAACCACAGACACAGCGCTGAATGTCACTTCACTTCCTGGAATCTGAAATACAATCGTTTTTTTTTTAGGGTCAGTTTAGGACACTAATGCTCAACAGTTTTAGGCGCCTCCCCTGGACAGGAAGTGAAATAGAAATTGGGAGTGGAGGAGGAAAGTGCTTAAACCCAGCCTCAGACACAAGCTAAATCCCGAACATGTAACTATTGTATTAATTGATAGTTAATTAAAATAGATAACATCTATTGAACAATGGGTGTAAGATACAGTGCTAATTCCTTATGTATAAATTAATTCATTTTACTCTTTCCAAGCCAATGAGGTGTGCTGGCAGATGGCTCAGTGGAATAAGTGCTTGCCTGGCAAGCGCAGGGTCCTAAATTCAATCCCCGGCACCGGGAAAAATAAAAAAATCCAAGCCAATGAGGTAGTACTGATTACTCCCCAGTTTACCTACAGGAGGAGACATAAGGAAAAATCTCTTAAAACTAAGCTAAGAACATACAGTATGGAGAAGCCAGCAAGATATCAACAAAATCTCTCACACTGCCTAGTACAAACAGCTTGGTGGCGCACCTGTCTTCCAGCACTGAGAGGCTGAGGCAGGAGGATTGCAAGTTCATTCAGCGACTTAGTGAGGCTCTGTTTAAAAATTTTAGTTTTTATTTATTTATTTATGGCTGGGCTGAGAGTGTAGCTGAGTCAAGGGCTCTGAGTTCAGTCCCTGGTGGGGGGGGCGACGTGATAGGGGGAAGCCTGGTTCATAGTAGATGCCCAATACGTTTATGGACTTCATAAATGAATGACTAAGGCTTCCTTTAAAAAACTATAACTTGAAGTAATTACAGAGTTAGAAGCAGTATACAGTGGTACCGGGTATCCTCTTCTCCAGCTCGACCCAGTGGTTATTGTCCTTTGGTAACAAGACCAACAGCAGGAAATTGACATTGGTGCAATCCAAAGACTATATTCACTTCGTAATCCACTTCCCCCCCATCTGCTTTTAACAGATGTTTGTCACTTTAAAAGCTAACGCAGTTGTAGTACTCCCATTGTTAATCTCAGTTTACACGGTGCTTTATGATTTGTGTGCCTGAATGTCGCGCTCCGGAAACAGACTACGTTCGGTGGGAACCCGAACCTGCGCACTAGAGCGGTGGTTGCGGCGCGCAAAGGGTTAACTAGAAAGCCACGACAGTGCGGCTGCGCGCAGCGTCCTTCAGCCCCGCCCCCGCAGCACGACCCGATGACCCGCCCAACCGGCGTCGTCCTATAAAAGAGTAGGTGTTGACGTCAGCGTTCTCTTCCGCCGTCCTCGCCGCCATCCCCGGCGCGGCTCAATTCAGTCGGATCTGTCTGGGAGAATCCAGCGACATCCACCACCATGGTGAGGACTTTCGTGCGGCTGGGGTCTCGGGAGGCCAGGGAGGCCTCTGCGCGGTCGTTGCTGCATAGCTTGTGGCTTTAGTGTCTCCCGGATGGGGAGGAGACATGGCGGCGGGGCCGGCGGGCCCCGAGCTGGGGAAGCGGCTGCCGCCATGTCTGCGTCCCGCTTCTGATTGCGGGACCTCTTCTCGGTTTCCACGGCTGCCTTCGCCTTTACGGAGCCGAGGCCATACCGAAGCTGGGGTGGAATCGGGGGTTGGGGTGTGGTTTGGTGATGTGGCAGGCGCTCTAATGGCGGGCACCGCGGAGGGAGTTAGGGGAGATGGCCCCGCCTTATGTAACCCGCGGGCAGAGCTCGGTTTTGCCGTCGGGGTCCGGGGGTGGCGGAATAAGGCCAGGATGTGAAAGCAGGGTCTGAAGATACAGCCCCCCGAACGTCACCACGGTGCGGAGCAACCTTGGACAGAGTCCTTGCCTCTCCTTTCCAAGCCACGAGGCGCCGGCTCCCGAGTGTTAGGGCTGCCTGGTCTCCCTCCACGCCGGGGAGCAGCTCGTTTAGACGCCCCAGTAGTGGGTTGGCTAGCCTAGCCCCCGAAGTCGCAGGCGTGACCTTGCGTTTTAAGGCAGTAATTTGGTTGGCGGCTGTAGGCATGGTGACGTCTCAGGAAAGTCTTGGTACTTAGTCGGCTCTGTCACATATGACACCGTCGTACCTGGTTTCTGGGAAATCTTGTCACCGTGGAGCAGTAATTTGAAATGCTTTCTCTGCACTGTCAGTTATGAATGACGGCTGAGATGGGTTCAGGGGACATGTAATGAGTGGTTTTTAAGAGGTGTATATGGAGAGCCCAGAGATGCTGAACTGTGTTGCAAGACCCCCCCCCACCCCCACCCCCCAGCCTCGTTCCCTCCTGGCCCAGGGCCCAGAAGTCCTATCGACCAAGTGTCTCTGCCAAGATGGGTTCCAGGAATCCCTGCTGGCCTAGCCCTCACTCCCTTGCCTAGGTGAACTTCACTGTAGACCAGATCCGGGCCATCATGGACAAGAAGGCCAACATCCGCAACATGTCTGTCATCGCCCACGTGGACCACGGCAAGTCCACGCTGACGGACTCCTTGGTGTGCAAAGCCGGCATCATCGCGTCCGCTCGTGCTGGTGAGACCCGCTTCACTGACACCCGGAAGGATGAGCAGGAGCGCTGTATCACCATCAAGTCAACGTGAGCTCCTGGCAACCTCTGGATCCTGGTGGGGAGGATCAGGCCTGGGCCTGGGGAGCCTGGGACCTGTGAGAACTGCTCCTCTGGGGCCAGGGCTCTTGGACTACAGGGAGTTGGAGGGGAAATTGGCTCTTGCAGTGCCTGAAGACACCTTGGCTGTCATGCTCATGAGGTGGGGTAGGAATACGTTAGGTCTTGGTGGCATCTGGGCGCACTGTGATTTTCTAAATTGCATAGGACTTTGGTCTTTAGTCGTTTGACTGCAAAGCAGTGATGTGGCTCTTGTCTTCAAATGGTGGCTTGACATACTGTGTATGGTTGATTGTGTCTTGTAGTAAGGAGAATTGTATCAGGTTTGCACTGAATAACGTCCCCAGCCTCTTGTAATCCCCCACTCCCTGCCCCTTTTTGAGACAAGATCTCACTATCTAGTTCAGGCTGGCCTTGAGTTTACATTGTAGTCTGGTCTCAAAACATGGTTTTGCCTCAGCCTCCCACCTATAATGCTGGGATTATAGGTGTGCATCACCACACCCAGCTCTTTTTTCTTTTTCTTTTTTTGCTGAACCAGGGATTGAACTCAGGCCCTTGTGCTCATTCTACTGCGATATCTCCCCAGCCCCACCCAGCTCTTTTTATAAACCTTTTTTTTTAAGATTTATTTTTCATTAAATTTTTTTTTTTTTTTTTTGGTGCATGCAGGGTCTCACTATGCATAGTGATTCTTCTGATTTCTGCCTCCCTAGTGTTGGGATTACAGGCATGTCCCCAATGCCCTGACTCCATTATTGGCTCAGGGTGCCTGGGGGCAGGGCTGGCATGGCATGTGGTGCCAGGGATAGAACCCTGGCCCCAGCGCTTATCTAAGCAAGTGTATACTCCGCTGAGCTATACTGCTGGTCCTTGTTTTTGTAAATCTTAAAGACATCATATTAAATTCGTGGTGGAGTGGAAACTTGTAATGCTTCTGCCTCAACTTCCCCTGGGTGCTGGGATTATAGGCTTGTGCTAGAGCTCCAGCATGGTTAATTGCCTCATTTGCTATTTTGTCCACATCAGCTGGCTGCGGGTCAGGCTGTGGAGGGAAGGGTGCGCGCAGTTCCAGGAGCTGGTCCTGCCTAGCTCTGCAGGTGTGAGCATCCTGGGCCCAGTAGAGTTGATACTAGGAGGTGCCTGTCCTCAGGCACCCTGCGCTGGGCAGGTTGCTCTGACAGGGTGGGCTGGGCCCAAGTGCATCTGCAGCCTGTTCAGGATGAGTAATGCTGGAAGGGTGGGGTACTCACATGGCAGCACTGGCTTGGCGATGTGTCCCCAATTAACCTGGGGGTAAAGTCTCTGTGTGGGCTTTGAGTGGAGTTAGAGTTTGCAGTTGTGAATGCAGGGAGCCAGGTTGGCACCACCCTGCTGACAATCTCTCCTCCACAGCGCTATCTCCCTCTTCTATGAGCTTTCTGAGAATGACTTGAACTTTATCAAGCAGAGCAAGGATGGCTCTGGCTTCCTTATCAACCTCATTGACTCTCCTGGGCATGTGGACTTCTCCTCAGAAGTGACGGCTGCCCTGCGTGTCACTGATGGCGCCTTGGTGGTGGTGGACTGTGTGTCAGGTAAATGGAGGTCCTGCTTGGAGAGGGTCCTGGGAGTGTGTTGTGTCTGTCCAGCTGACATCCTTGTGGTCCATGTGGCTCTCAGGTGTGTGCGTGCAGACAGAGACAGTGCTGCGGCAGGCTATCGCTGAGCGCATCAAGCCCGTGCTCATGATGAACAAGATGGACCGGGCCCTGCTGGAGTTGCAGTTGGAGCCCGAGGAGCTGTACCAGACCTTCCAGCGCATAGTGGAGAACGTCAACGTCATCATCTCCACCTACGGCGAGGGCGAGAGCGGTCCCATGGGCAACATCATGGTGTGTCCCCTGCCACAGGACGGCTAGGAGGGGCCGGGGACTTTTTAGCATTGGCCTGGCCCAGCTCTGGGCTTGGAGTGAACCCCCGTGATCGGGCTTGGGTGGTGAGGTTTGCACCTTGTTTGTGATGACTGAAATTTCTTCACTTTGACCTGATGTCTCTTGAAGAAAACTAGTGTCTGAAATGCTCATTACCAGGGACTTCTCTGAGGGGTGTGCCCAGAGGCACCCCCCCCAATCACAGCTGGCACTTTTCTCTCCTCCAGATTGACCCTGTCCTTGGTACTGTGGGCTTTGGGTCTGGCCTGCATGGCTGGGCCTTCACCCTAAAGCAGTTTGCAGAGATGTACGTGGCCAAGTTCGCTGCCAAGGGGGAGGGCCAGTTGGGGCCTGCTGAGCGGGCCAAGAAGGTGGAAGACATGATGAAGAAGCTGTGGGGTGACCGGTGAGTGTGTGGCTGCGAGGACCTGGGACACGGTGGTGGGCTGGCCAGTTGTGACTGAAGACCTCACAGATTGTGACCACCTTGTGAACAGTGGGCCTGATGGCGCCATGCTTGCTGCACTAGGTACTTCGATCCAGCCAACGGCAAGTTTAGCAAGTCAGCCACCAGCCCTGATGGAAAGAAGCTGCCCCGTACTTTCTGCCAGCTCATCCTGGACCCCATCTTCAAGGTGAGGCGAGGTTGCTGGTAAGGGTTGGGGCTCTGGGCTGGGGGCATCCTCCATTCAGGCCTTCTGGAAGGAGGGCTCCTCCCTGCTGTGCTTGCCATGCCCCAGGCACAGTCCTCCAACTGAGGTGCTGACTCAGCTCACCCTGGTGTGACCAGGGAACTGCTGAAAGGGAGCCCGAGGTGGGGGTAGCAGGTACGGCTCCAGCCCAGGAGGCAGAGGGTCATTTTGTCCTTGAGTTCCCTGCCATGAGGTGCCTGGGAGCCACCCATGGCTCAGTGAATGTGGTACCACCGTGCTCTATGGCTGTCCCACTTAGCTGAATGCACTGAGTCTCCCCTTCTTACTACCCTGTCTCCCTGGTGATTCAGGTGTTTGATGCAATCATGAACTTCAAGAAAGAGGAGACAGCAAAGTTGATTGAGAAGCTGGACATTAAGCTGGACAGTGAGGACAAAGACAAAGAGGGAAAGCCGCTGCTCAAGGTGCGGGGCTGGCTCTTGGTGCTGGATGTACCTGCTTGGGGTTTGTCCTTGAGGCCTCTTACTGCTTGCTAGCAGGACCTGTGGTTTATGTGGACCCAGGTTCTCGCTGGAGTGGCTCCTTCGGGTCCTGAGCAAGGAGCTGCATGTGGCAGACACGTCCGTAGCCCCTGAGCCCTGCCCTTCTGCCCGCAGGCTGTGATGCGCCGCTGGCTGCCAGCTGGGGACGCGCTGCTGCAGATGATCACCATCCACTTGCCGTCACCTGTTACAGCACAGAAGTACCGCTGCGAGCTGCTATATGAGGGGCCCCCAGATGATGAGGCCGCCATGGGTAGGTGCAGCTGGCTGCTCTGTGCAGGCTGAGGTCTAGAGATAAGTGGGAGGAGTAACTTTTCTTTATATTTTTCCCCCATCCAGGCATTAAAAGCTGTGATCCTAAAGGCCCACTAATGATGTACATTTCCAAAATGGTGCCAACTTCTGATAAAGGTCGGTTCTATGCCTTTGGACGTGTCTTCTCAGGGCTGGTGTCCACTGGCCTGAAAGTCCGGATTATGGGCCCTAACTACACCCCTGGGAAGAAGGAGGACCTTTACCTGAAGCCCATCCAGAGGTGAGTGGCCAGGTGGGTCGCTCTCCTGCTTAGAGCTCTGGGCTGCTTGGTTTTGCTTTAATTTTCTGTATTTAGCACAGGATCTGTTGGGTCTCACTACGTAGATCAGATTCATAGTGATTGTCCTGTATTCATTCTCCCAAGTGCTGGGATTATGGGCGTGCACCACCACACCCAGTCTAGCTCCTTGGTTTTGACAGCCCTGAGAATTGAACCTTGGGTCTTTGCAACTTTTTTTTGTGGGACCAGGGATTGAACTCAGGCCCTTGCGCTTGCCAGGGAACCGCTTAATTCTACTGAGCCATCTCCTTGGCTCTGCACTAAGTTTGATGCCCGCCCTGTTTTGAGATGGGGTCTTCCTAAATCATGAAGTTCGGTTCTGGGGTGTCGGCCAGGGGAGTTAAGAAAGGGAACCCTGTCTTGCTGTGTGCTCGTGGGCTGTGCCTTAAGGTGACTGGGTGGCTGAGGCACGTGTCATGACGTGCGTGAATGGGGCAGCTGGGGTGTGAACAGAAGCGAGCTGTGGGCCTTGAGTCCTTGTTCCAGGCTCTGGCAGTGCCTAAGCCTCAACAGATTCCCCTGCTGCCCCCAGGACCATCCTGATGATGGGCCGCTATGTGGAGCCCATTGAGGACGTGCCTTGTGGGAACATCGTGGGACTGGTGGGTGTGGACCAGTTCCTAGTGAAGACTGGTACCATCACCACTTTTGAGCATGCCCACAACATGCGTGTGATGAAGTTCAGCGTCAGCCCTGTGGTCAGAGTGGCTGTGGAGGCCAAGAACCCAGCTGACCTTCCCAAGCTGGTGGAGGGGCTGAAGCGGCTGGCCAAGTCCGACCCCATGGTGCAGGTGGGTGCAGGGGCTTTCTACTTTCCTGGGTGTGGGATTTACTTGTGGCCCTGGACGGGAAATGGTTATTGCTGTTGAAAGGTCCTGGTGACTGGAGTTCCCCTGGTACAGAGTTGTATGGGCCAGGTTCCCCATTCCGGGGCAGTGGAAGTAAGGCTTTTGGCTGTGGAGCCCTGGGCCCTGGGGCTGTGGCCTGGCTGACCTGTGGCCCTTGCAGTGCATCATCGAGGAGTCAGGAGAGCACATCATCGCGGGCGCTGGCGAGCTTCACCTGGAGATCTGCCTCAAGGACCTGGAGGAGGACCATGCCTGCATACCCATCAAGGTGGGCTGTGGCGCTGTCCAAGTGTGTGGGTGAGGGGCTCTGCCTTGCTGTCACTTGGGTGGCACCTTGCTCTGCCCGTAGTGAAGTCTCAGCTTTACTGGGAGATGAAAGTTCCTCTGTGGCCCCTGCCTGGCTGGTCTAGTAAAGTTTAGGTGTGCTCAGGTGCACTGGGATTCTGGGCCCACGGCGCAGCTATTGCTTCATGGCTCCCAGGACTGAGCTGACCCTGCTGGGGTGGGTGGCCCTGCCACATGAGGCTCAGTAACACTTGGGGCAGAACTTCTGGAGCGTGTCCTCACTGGTAACCGCCCCTACCATGCATGTGACCTGCGAGCTCTTCCTCTTGCAGAAATCGGACCCCGTGGTCTCGTACCGGGAGACAGTGAGCGAGGAGTCGAATGTGATGTGCCTCTCCAAGTCCCCCAACAAGCACAACCGCCTGTACATGAAGGCGCGACCCTTTCCGGATGGCCTGGCTGAGGACATCGACAAGGGGGAGGTGTCTGCCCGCCAGGAGCTAAAGCAGCGTGCCCGCTACCTGGCTGAAAAGTATGAGTGGGATGTGGCAGAGGCCCGCAAG